GGGCCAATAGAAGAGTGTGGAAATATTTGTCAAAAATTGCGTGGGAATTTGTGGGGGGTTGATTGGTGCTATTGAGGTACATTTTACTGCCAACCTACATTTTTTCATTTTGTTGATGAAAACTAAAAATGAGGAAATAACACGTATTGGATTTTTGCAAAAAAAATTATAATTTCTTCATTAACATTTTATTTATTCTATGGGGCCCTTTTGGGGGGTGACGACAGACACCAACCAGAAGGGCCTGGAGATCTTCCAAAAAAGACACTCAGTGCCCTGACTGTGTGGCTACAGGAGCTCACCAGCTCCTGTCTACCTCAGAGACCGGCACACAGACATGGACAGACTTACGCGCGCACAGATAGACTTACACGCGCACAGACACAGAGCGACAAACATACAGACCAGAGGAGAGAGAGATACATATTCACACAGAGACATTCAAAAACACACACACACACATTAGATACACACAGACACAAAGGAGAGAGAAACACAGACACATTCACAGAGACGTTCACAAACAGATACACATTCGGAGGATAGAGACACATTCGCATAGACACTGACAACTCTCACCAGAGTCTCACCTCCTTTACTGTTCCTTATTTCTACCCACAGTATTTCCAAGGCCAGATCACCTTACTGAAATCCTTTATTTCTATGACTGTAATTGTGCTTTTATCAATATTGCTACTCCTCCTCAGTTCCCAATTTCCTTGTTCTTTCTAAAGATCTTAAAGCCTGGAATATTTATCTCCCAGTCATACCCAGCTTGTAGCCAGGTCTCTGTAATGGCTACTACATCATAACAACAACAAAATTTGTAAATAATAATCCTTGCATTTGATATAGTGCTTTTCACGTCGGGAGGACGTCCCAAAGCGCTTTACAGAACACACTGTAAAGTGAATTGACTGTATATTTGTGGGCAAACGCGGCAGCCAATAGCGCACAGCAATGTCCCACAAACAGTCGTAGATTGAAAATGACAATGTTATTGTTTTGTTTTGGAGGGATTATTATTAGGCTCTGTGTGGAGTAAGGAAACTTGCCCAAGGTTTCGCCCTCTGCCTGGAATTGAACTCAGATGTCTCGCTTGCAAGGCGAGTGCTCTAACCATTGAGCTACAGGACTCCGCAGCGATCAACCCATCTCCCTTTCCTCTCCAAGGCCCTAGAATGTGTCGTTGCGTCCCAGCTTCGGTCTGTCCAATCCTACCATTCCCTTTCTATGAGTCTCTCCAATCGTGTTTCTTAGAGTTAGGGAGCAGAAGAGGAGCTGTTACCCTGTATACTATAGACAGCCAAATAGAGGGAAGGAGAGAGTGGAGCAAATCTGCAAGCAAATTTCAGAAAGATGTTGAAACATTAGAATAGTGATAATGGGGGCTTCAATTTCCAAACATAGACTGGGAAAAATGGTGTAAGGGGCAAGGAGGGGGAAGAATTCCTAAAATCTGTACAGGTGAACTTTCTGGATCAGTATGTTTCCAGCCCAATGAGGAAGGAAGCAGTGCTGGATCTAGTCCTGGGGAATGAAGTGGGGCAAGTGGAGCAGGTTTCAGTAGGAGAGCATCTGGATAGCAGTGATCACAACATCATTAGGTTTAGAGTACTTATGGACAGGGACAAGGAACAATCAAAGCTGAAGATACTCAACAGGAAGAGGCTAGTTTCAGTGAGTTGAAAAGGGATCTGGCCAAAGTGTACTGGAAACAAAGATTGATGTGTAAAACGGTAAACGAGCAATGGGAGGCCTTCAAGGAGGAGATAGTTAGGGTACAGAACAAACACATTCCCATGAGGGGGAAAAGTAGGGCATCCAATGCTAGAACTCCCTGGATAACTAAAGAAATTGGAATTAAAATGAAACAGAAAAAGGAAGCTTATGATAAAGGTCAGCTTCAAGAAACATCAGAGAATGAAGCAGAATACTGAAAATGCAGAGGAGAATTCAAAAAGGAAATAAGAGGAGCAAGATGTATGAGAAAAGATTAGCAGGTAACATAAAGGAAACTCTAAAGATTTTTATGTCTTTAAACACATTAAAAAGTAAAAGGATGGTCAAGGTGGGGCTGATTAGGAACCAAAAAGGAAATCTTGTTGTGGAGGCCGAGGGCATGGCTAAGGTACTGAATGAATACTTTGCTTCTGTCTTCACAAAAGAGGATGGTGCCAATGTCACTGTAAAGGTGGAGGAGGCAGAGAAATTGGATGCAACTAGATAGAGAGGAAATACTGAAAAGGTTATCAGCGCTCAAAGTAGAAAAGTCACCCGGTCCGGATGGGATGCTTCCTCGATTTTTAAGTTATGGTGGAAATAGCAGAGGCTCTGGCCACAATCTTTCAATCCTCCTTGAATATGGGAATAGTGCCTGAGGATTGGAGGGTTGATAATGTTACACCACTGATCAAAAAAGGGGAGAGGGATAAACCTGGTAACTACAGGCCCATCGTCTTAACGTCATTGTGGGGAAATTTATGGAGACCATAAGCTGGGATAAAATTAATTTTCACTTAGAGAAACATAATTAATAAACAGTCAACATGGATTTGTCTTCAACAAATCGTGTCTGACAAATTTAATTGAGTTCTTTGATGATATAACAGAGGATTGATTAAGTAGTGTAGTTGATGTAGTGTATGTGGACTTTCAGAAGGCATTTGATAAGGTGCTACAAAATAGATTAGTTAGCAAAATGGAAGTCCATGGGATAAAATGGACAGTGGCAGTGTCGATACAAAATTGGCTGGGAGAAAGCAGGTGAATGGTTATTTTTCATACTGGAGGGAAGTATACACTGGTGTCCCCCAGGGGTCAGTATTGGGACCACTGCTCTTTTTAATATATATTAATGTCCTGGACCTATAGAGAACAAAAGTTTAAAGTTTGCAGATGACACAAAACTTGGGAACGTAGTAAACAGCGAGGAGGATGGTATCAGACTGCAGGAGGACATAATAATGATCTTTGCGTTTGATATAGTCCATATCACGTCTTTGAGATGTCTCAAAGCACTTCATAGAATATACTGTAAAGTGAATTGACTGTATATTTTGTGGGAGAAATGTGGCAGCCAACTGCACACAGCAGTGTCCCACAAACAGTCATGGATCGAAGTGACCAATCTTTTTTAAAGGAATTATTACTCCCAGAAAGGCAGTTTGCCAATCAGGTACCTCAAGGTTCCTACTTACTGCTAGTGGAGTCCTGTAGCTCAGTGGTTAAAGCACTCGCTTTGCAAGTGAGAGACCCGAGTTCAATTCCAGGCCGGGGGAAACCTTGGGCAAGTTTCCTTACTCCACACAGAGCCTAATAATAATCCTCCAAAACAAAACAAAAAACAATAACAAATTGGTCATTTTCAATCCATGACTCTTTGTGGGACATTGCTGTGCGCAATTGGCTGCCGCGTTCGCCCACAAATATACAGTTAATTCACTTTACAGTATATTCTGTGAAGAGCTTTGAGACATCTAAAAGACGTGAAAAGCGCTATATCAAATGCAAGGATTATTATTATTAGGTAAACAGAGGTGTGTGGAGTAACGAAATTTATCTAACATTTCGCCCTACAGGGAATCAAACCCAGGTCTCACGCAGACACATGGCAGATGAAGTTTGCCTGCAAAATTCACAGGTTCTACACTTTACAGTAAACCTTGTCAAAAGGCGCTATATCAGATGCATTGATGTTGATTATTATTACATAAGCCGAACTGTTTTCTGTGGTGTGAGGTTGGAGCTGTGGAATTCAGGAAACGGGATAATTTATTATCATTCCTGAGAAACACAATTAGGGATTTGGAACTTTTAAGCGTACAGTACATCTTGCATAAATCTGATTTGTATAAATCGTATAATTACTTAGTCATTCAATTGCCCAGGTCCCATTCAATTTTGTATTTCATGGGAGCCGGGGGGAGGGGGATTGAGAGAGACAAGCAAAAAACTTTGGGCTGCTCACTCCCTCTCTCCCTGGCGAACTGTCCTCTTGGCAGCGGCAAGGAGGACCCATCCTTTTTCTCAATCAACCATGCAGCTCACTAGTGAGTGAGAAACACCGAGTGAGAGAGGGGGGAGGGGTTGGGAGTTAGGGCAGCATTTTGTGGTTCTCAAACAGGGCATCTGTACTAGTTAGCCATGCGGTTGATTGAGAAGGAGATGAAGGGAGAGGGGGGTGGAGAATGAGTGTTTGAGGGAGAAGTGGGAGTGAAAGACACAACAACTTGGATTTATATAGCTCCCTCCACGCCGGACGGCGTCTCAGAGCGCTTCACAGTAACGGATCCCAGGACCGAGCCGGGGGGAGAGGGGGGATGGTGACCAAAGGCGCGGTCGAAAAGAAAGGTCTTCAGCAGAGACCTGAAAATGGGAAGGGAGTGAGGAAGGCAGTTCCAGAGCCTCGGGGCATAGTGGCTGAAGGCACGGCCGCTGAGAGTGAAGCAGATGACTCGGAGGATAAGGAGGAGGCCTGTTTTGAGGAGAGAGGAGGTCAGAGAGGTGGCGGGGGGGTGAGAGAGAGTGATTGAGAGAAAGGAAAGAGTAATTTAAAGGGAGAGCATGAGGGAGAGGGGGAGAGAGAGAGAAACAGCGAATGAGAGTGAGCACAGACGGAGAGGGGAAGTGAGGGCAGAGTTTTGTGGTTCTCAAACAGGGCATCTGGCCCTCACCAGATTGGACCACCCTGCTCAACACGATACTCAGACACTGCAGCTTGTGAACATCTTTATTATAATAATAATAATCCTTGCATTTGATTATAGGGTCTTATCACTTCTTGGAAATGTCTCAAAGCGCTTCACAGAATATACTGTGAAGTGAATTGACTGTATATTTGTGGGTGAAACACAGAAGCCAATTGGCACAGCAGTTATTATTTGAAGGAATTATTATCCCCGGAAATGCAATACACCAATCAACTAACAACCGGGGTCCTACTTATTGCTAGGTAGACAGAGGCCTGGGGAGTAAGGAAGTTTGTCCAACCGGGAAACCTGCCCTCCTGGGGATCGAACCCAGGTTTCCCGCTTTCGAGGCGAGTGCTCTAACCACTGAGCTACAGGACTCATACTATTATGCAAAGTATATTTAAACTTGAATCTTTTACTTCTTTTTGAGAAGATAATTTTTGCGGTATTATGATGACTTGTTTTGTTATTGTAGTCTGTGTCCCAACAATTTGTTCACAACAACTGTTTCATTTTGAAAATATGCAGCACATCATTTGTGTTTGGGATGTGGTGGCGTTGGTGGAGGGGGTCTTGCGAAGGTCCTGCTCTCTCACCACTTTAGCTCTTAAGTCTAGACAGACTGAAAATTGGCAGAGCACTGCATTGCGAAAGGAGACATTTGTTGGATAGGATAGGATTAGACTGAAATCCCACCGTCTGCTCTTCAGAATCACTATTCAAAAAGAGAGTTTCTCCTGGTATTTCTCCTGTTGTCCTATTAACCCTTCAGATTAATCAGTCACTCATTTTATGACTGTTTGTGGGACTTCTCTCTCTACAAAATGGCTCCCAGAAAAACAATCATTACACAATAAAAAGTATTTTTAATGTTTCAATTTGATGAGGTACTATAAAAAACATAACCTATTTCTTTGTAGCATTTCTGTCTGTGTGCCTGCACTTTCCCTCGCAGCACCTGGGGTTAAGACAGGTGTTTGAAACTAATTATTAAAGGTTAATTGACATTATCCTGTGTGACACTGTCTCAGGCCACTGCGATGTAAAAGTGATGTCACATTTTGACCTCTGCTCACAGGCCTCACCAGATCAGCACTTTGGTGAGAGGGGAGGATCCGCACCATTCCTGCAAGACAGGCTCTGCCGCAAGACTGCGGCTCAACAAAACAAACCAATCCTCAACTACAAAGTGGGCCAATGTTTCATCTCGAAAAGTGCCCCGGATGAAGAAGTGTCAGCGAACCCAGAAGCAGAAGGAGCTGGTGCAGCGGGTGCGACGGGCACGGGAAGCTGTGATCCGCAAGAAGTGCGCGGCCCAGTGGATTGGCAGCTCCACGGACAGGGACACGAGCAGCAACTCTGACACAGAAGAAGTGATTACATGTGATGACAGTCAGACCAACATTCGAGATCCTCTGGGTACTGTATCGCAATTAGCAAAGCCCATGTTAATAGCTGGTGCTGAGGTGGAGAGATTGTTTGCTGGGGATGGTGTTAATGTCAGGTGAAGGAGCTGACATTGTGGGGCGTGTAAGGGGTCACAGTACTTAACACATTGACACAGTAGACATTAGGTGGATTGTCATTGGAGGGGGAAATATACTAAGTAGCAATTTGTTCTGTAATATTTTATAGATTAGTTGTGAGACACTGCACAAGGAAAGCCATTGGTACTGATTTAATTCCTTATGAAAGACAGGCAACATCCACAGTAATTGGAACTTGGTGAGGATAGTGTAGATATCATCATGTAAAATACAATTTACAGCTCCAGCCCTAAACAACCACTACTAAAATCAGGGTGTGGGAGATGTAGTAGAATAACAACTCTTACTACTTCTCCAAAAAGATTAGACAGGTTAGAGCTTTTCTCTCCGGAAAAGACAACAACAACTTGCATTTATATAATGTCCCAGAGAGCACTTGACAGTGATGGAGCATGACACTGAGCTGGGGAAGGGGAAGGTAACCATAGGCACGGTTGAATAGGAAAGTCCTCAGGTTCGACCTGAAGATGGGGAAGGAGGAGGGATAGAGGAAGTGTGTTTCAGAGTTTTGGGGTGTAGTGGCTAAAAGCGGGGCCACTAATGATGGAACGGAGGGCACAAGGGTCATGCAGAAGGTCGGAGCCAGTCGAACGGAGGCAGTGGGTTGGGGGATAAGCAGGTAGGCCGGTGCCAGGGCATGAAGGGATTTGAAAACTAGTGTGGGGATCTTGAAATCGATCGGTTTGTCGATAGGGAGCCAATGGAGCCTGGCTAGAACGGGTGTGATGGGGGTATGGATTGAGGGGACTTGAATGAGGTGTTCAAATGTTGCAAATAAAAAACAATTGCAAAAAGATGCAGAAGATATAAATAGGCTTACAGAACAGACAGAAAGGTGGCAGATTAAACATTTCTATAGGAGAAGTGATTCCCAGAAAGAATAATGAAGACAACTAAAACTTGGATGGTAAGAACATAAGAAGGGCAGAAGAGCTAAGCGTTTCAGATTCATCTGACTTCAAAGGTAACATCACAGGTGGATAGGGCCATATAAATAATAAATTTAGAGTCCTTGGCTTCATGTACTAGGGAAGTAAGTTAAATTTCTATAAAACATTCGTTAGACTATATTTGGAGGACCAATGTCCTCGCAGGGAGGTTAGCTGTGGGGAAGGGTTTAAACTAATTTGGCAGGGGAAGGAGAACCAGGATGTAACATTAGAGAGGAGAAACAAGATGCACAGAGGACTGCGAGAGACAAACAGCCTACAAATAAAGAGTAATCCAGAAATATGAGGGATCAGACAGGGGAGAAAAGCAAAGCAGACTAAAGTTTTTTTGGAGGGCATGTGTGTAAATGCATGGTGTGTGACAAATAAGGTTGTCACCTACAAAGCCATCCATGGCCTTGCTCTTTCCTACCTCTGTGACCCCATATCAACCTGTCTGCTCCCTCTGCTCAGCATGCTCTGGCCTGCTTCACGTCCCCTGACTGGCCCACCATCGGCGGTCAGGCCTTCAGCCTCTCTGATCCATCCCACAGTCCCTTCACCTTGCTCCCTCAAGGCATGTCTAAACCCTCCACTTCGACCACGGCTTCGGCCACCCTCCTACCCTGACCCTCCCCACCCTCCATCCTTCCTGACCCCACCCCCTGCTCGGGTCTAAATCCCTGATTGTCCAGTGCCTTGGGACGTCATACCGATATGAAAGACGCTAAACAAATGTAATTTGTTGTTGTTGGTGGTGGTGAGCTGCAGGCACAAGTTGCCGCATGGGGTTATGTAGTGGCAATAACGGAGACGTGGATCAAACAAGGGCAGGAATGGGAGCTGAATATTCCTGCCTACAATATATTCAGAAGGGAATGAAAAAAAGAGGGGGTGGGAGCGATGGGATTGTTCAAAGATACTGTTACAACCCTGGAAAGGGAGTATGAGCTAGAGGGTTCAAAGACGGAATCAATTTGGTTAGAGTTAAGGAGCTGAAGAGCAGCTGTTACGCTGCTGGGTATATACTATAGACCGCCAAATAGTGGGAAGGAGATAGATTGTTGTTGTTGTTGAGATAGAGGAGCAAATCTGCAAGCAGATTTCAGTAAAATGTACAAACAATAGAGTAGTGATGGAACAGTGTGAAGGGCAAGGGCAGGAAGAATTCCTGAAATATGTACAGGAGAACTTTCTGGATCAGTATGTTTCCAGCCCAACAAGGCAGGAAGCAGTGCTGGATCTAGTTCTGGGGAATGAAGTGGGGCAAGTGGAGAGTGTATTAATGGGAGAGCATCTGGATAACAGTGATCACAATATCTTCAGGTTTAGGGAAGTTATGGAAAGGGGTAAGGAAATCCAAGGTGAAGATACTCAACTGGAAGAGCTAATTTGTTTGAGTTGAATGGGAATCTGGCCCAGGTGGATTGGAAACCAAAATTGATGTGTAAAATGGTAAATAACCAATGGGAGACCTTCAAGAAGGAGGCTTATGAACCAGTCAGGTTCATCATACAGTAGAGAATCCAGTAGAATACAGAAAGTGCAGAGGAGAACTGAATAAGAGGCAAGGAGAGCGTATGAGAAAAGATTAGCGGGTAACATAAAAGAATCCATCTGGTTAGAGATAAGAAATAAGAAAGGAGTGGTTACACTGATAGGGGTTTACTGTAGACCATCAGGCAGCGGGAAGGAGCCAGAGGAGCAGATCTGCAACCAGATCGCGGATAGATGTAAGGCGAACAGAGTTGTGATAATGGGGCATCTCAAGTATCCCAATATAGATTGGCAAAATAGCAGCGTTAAGGGCAAGGCAGGAGAAAGATTCATAGACTGTGTACAGGAAAATTTTCTTGAGCAGTATGTTCTCCAGTCCTACGAGGAAGGAAGCATTGCTGGATCTAGTCCTGGGGAATGAAATAGGTCAGGTTGAACAGGTTTCGGTAGGGGAGCATCTAGGTAACAGTGACCATAATATTATTAGATTTAGATTACTCATGAACAGGGACAAAGTACAGTCAAGGGTGAAAATGCTTGACTGGAAAAGGGCTAATTTTGATGGGCTAAAAGGGGACCTAGAGTTGGGGACTGGCAAGTAAGACTAGCAGGTAAAATGACTCATGAGCAATGGGAGACCTTCAAAGATATGATAGCTCAAGGTCTAAGTAGATATATTCCCACAAAAGGGAAATGTGCGACAACCAAGCCAGTCCAGATATTCTGTCTAGGATGAAAAAGAAGAAGACGGCGTACGACAATTGGAAGACGCAAGATACTGAGGATAGCAAAGCGCATTATAGGGAATGCAGGAGTGAACTTAAAAGAGTGATAAGACAGCCTAAAAGATCGCATGAAAAGAGGTTAGCGGGTAACATAAAGGTAGGGTGGGGCCAATCAAAGACAATGACGGCAATCTTGTTGTGGAGGCAGAGGGATGGCTGATGTACTGAACAAGTACTTTGCATCTGTCTTCACAATGGAGATGGATGCCCCAAATTACCCAGTATTGGATGAGAGGGTAAAGGAAATACATCAGATTACTGTAGACAGAGAGGAAGTTCTGGAAAGATTGCCTGGACTCAAAATTGATAAGTCACCAGGACCAGATGGGTTTCACCCAAGGTTGCTGTGGGAGATACGGGTTCAAATAGCGGAGGCTTTGGCCATTATATTTCAATCTTCATTGGACACAGGAGTGGTGCCACGAGACTGGAGAGTGGCTAATGTTACCCCACTCTACAAAAAGGGGCAGAAAGACAAGCCCGGAAATTACAGGCCAGTCAGCCTAACTTCAGTAATAGGTAAACTACTGAAGACCATAATCTCCAGTAGTCTCCAGACATAATCTCCAGACAGAATAAATGTCTACTTAGAGGAACATGAGGTAATTAGAGACAGCCAACATGAATTTGTCAAAGGCAAATCTTGCCCAACAAATCTAACAGAATTTTTTGAAGAGGTGACTGCGAGGTTGATGAGGGAAATGCGGTGGACGTTATTTACATGGATTTCAAAAAGGATTTTGACACAGTACCGCATAATGGGTGTTTCTCGAAATGGAAGGAGGTGTGCAGCGGTGTCCCCCGGGGTTCGGTATTGGGACCACTGCTTTTTTTAATATAGATTAATGATCTGGACTTGGGCATAGAGAGCACTATTTCCAAGTTTGCAGATGATAACAAGTTAGGTCGGGTAGTAAATAGTGAGGAGGACTGTAACCAACTGCAGGCAGACATACACAGAATGGTGGAATGGGCTGACATGTGGCAGATGGATTACAATGTGGATAAGTGTGAGTGATACACTTAGGTAGGAAAAATGATAGGAGGCAATATAGTCTTGGGAGCTCAATCTTAAGGGGGGGGGGGGGAGTGAACGTACAGAAAGATCTGGGTGTTCCAAGTAAGCGAATCATTAAAGGTAGTGGGGCAGTAAAAAAGGCATTTGGTGTACTGAGCTTTATTAGTAGGGCATAGAGTATAATAGTAGGGAGGTTATGGTTAATCTATACAAAACACTGGTTAGGCCTCAGTTGGAGTACTGCGTCCAGTTCTGGGCACCTTACTTCAGGAAGGATATTAAGGCACTGGAAAGGGTGCAGAGGAGATTCACGAGAATGATACCAGGAATGGGGAACCATAGCTATGAGGACGGGCTGGAAAAGTTAGGACTTTTCCCATTAAAGCAGAGAAGGTTACGCGGGGACCTGATAGAAGTCTTCAAGATCATGAAAGGTTTCGACAGGCGAGATAAGGAAAAGCTGTTTCCGCTGGTAGGTGTGTCTGTGACTCGTGGTCACAGTCTTAAGATATCTACCAAAAGAAGCAGAGGGGAGGTTAGAAGAAATGTTTTCACTCAGTGAGTTGTTGGAATTTGGAATGATCTGCCCGAAAGGGCAGTGAAGTCCGATTCGATAACAGCTTTTAAGAGAGAACTGGATAGG